CTATTTTTCCCTGAATTTATTGTCATCTGACAAACCCCCCCCTTCCCAATCGCCCCCCCCCCCGCCCATCAATCAGGCTCCAGGGACCCAAACTGGCACTTATTTATCATTATTCCTCACCCTTCTGGTAGTGTAATTTCTTTCAGTCTAGACAACAGAGAATTCCATAGCTTTATTCCCCCAATGGAATTTTCCTTGCCCTACCTTGACATGGCTAGTTTCCGCTTGGAGCCCACTGGGGGATTTATCTGAGGCTCTTCTTTCACCTTTGTATCATCCATCACTTCTTCTTTAGGGAAGTACTTCTCTTCTTTTACACACACTTCATCCATTATTTCCTCCTTCTTTACGTTCTGATCAAGAAACATCTCCTCCCCTTTAATCTTCAAGCTATCTTTCTTCTCTTCCTTCACTTCCAGCCAGTCCATCACTTCTTCCTTCACCTTCACTTTCTCTTCCTTTAGCTCTGGTTCTTCCACCTTCTCTTCTTTTACCATCAAACTACTATCCGTCTCCTGCTTCACCTCCAACGTGCCTGGTTTTTCCTCTTTCACCTCAGGCCCATCCTCCACCTCCTGCTTTACCCACTGGTCATTCCGCATACCTTCTTCCATTTCTGACCAGTCCATTACTTCTTGCTTCACAACTGCTAGGTTCACTCGCACCTCCTCTGCCTTTGGTCCATTTCCTTCTTCCCCTTCCCCTGTCTTCCCCATTCCGGTCAGTCCATTCCCCGCCTCTCCACTGCCGGCCTCCTCGGTCCCTACTGTGCCCCTGGCTCTCTCTCCATGTGACTCGAGACTTAGCCGCGCCCCTTCAGCTCCACTCTGGAGACCTCCTCCCAACGTCTCCTCATTTTCAGCTGCAAAATCCATCAGTTCAAGATCCTTGATCTCCGTTGCCACTCTGTCCTTCAATATGGCTGGTCCACGCCAATAGGAATGAATTTCTGGCCACAACACCAACAGCGGCCCACGTGTGGATCAGAGAAGTAGCGAGCAGAAAACGCCGGCCCGGCGCGTCTATCCAAACAGTCGTAAAGCAGCGCTTCCGCGCATTGCCGCTTCACGACTCGTGGAGCTCTTTACGGCTCTGCTGCAGTCCGGCACAGATCCTACGGGATCCGCGTGAGGCCACGCCCACTGTCATCCCGCCTTCGGGGCGGGGTTTCGCCAAACCCTTCCCTTGGGGAGGCCGCGCCCTATGCACGTGGCCACACGCTTCCGCTTAAAGAGAGCAGAGAGTCTCCGCGCTGTGGGGGAGAAGCGGGAACCTCACAGCTTTGTAATTGGAAGACCACCCTAGTCTGTTCTGAACTTGCATGAAAATGGAAGAAACACCTGATATTACGCCTCTCCACGCTTCAGTTTCTTCAGCAGTACTCCAGAGACGATGGTATTACAAATCTTTTGGTTTATTTTGATGATTAAGTGTAATCATGCATGGAAATAAGCTAGCAGTGATGAAACTCAACATATGGTCGCTATTATTACTGGGAATCCTGATAGGTTTCAGGTAGGAAAGAGGGCATTAACTTTAATTCTTTCACTTCTTTGTCCGTAGCAGCTGGCATCAGCCAGTTCCCCATTTACAGCATCTTACAGGATTCTCTCTAGAAGAGAGAATATATATATATACATATATATATATGTATATATATGTAGAGAGAGAGAGAGAGGGAGAGAAGGAGAGAGTTGTTAAAGAACCAAATAAATGCAGAGATAACAACAGTCAAGGACTATGCATACATATATATATATATATATATATATATGTATCACATATTTAAAGACTGGGCCACAAATTCAACCCCCAGGACTAGAACATCTTAAAAAAAAAACCAAAACACGGAAAACAAAAACTAGCCTGGCATCCGTTTCAGTTACTTCTGGAAATTAATATTACATACTGAGCATTAGGCATTTTCACCTAATCTTTACATAATGTCTGTGAGATTCATATTTTTCTCTCTGCATAAGGAGACTTCAAAGAAATGGAGTTTTAGCTGGGGGCTGCTTTGTGCCAATCCCTCAAATCCTGTTGTGGTTTGCAGGGCATTTAACTGTTATTACTCATTCACATGTTCATCAGGGAATGGGAATTTTGAATGGGTGAGCAGAAGGAGGAAATTTTGAAACCTTAGTTGGGGCTCCACTGATACTATAGTCCTGGAAGGAGTATTGAAGTAAGTTGGGAAAGTTTCGTAAAATTTTTTTGTGGGTTACGAGGAAGAGGCTTGCAAAGGAGTCATATGGACAGTGTTTTGTCAATATACTTAGAGGTGCCAGTTACCCATGGAGTCAAAAAGAGCCTGACTGGTAACCCTGTTACCGACCAGGGTTCTTGGACTCCTTAATCAATAGAAATTGATAAGAGGCCAGATAAGAAAATCGGGCAAGACTTTATTGGGGCTAGTGCTGCAGCACAAGGGAGCGAAAACAAATAACAGGTGCCTTTGTTGGCTCTTTGGGTGGCGGGGGGCAGGAGGGAGCTGGTCCCTTTACATGCGGTGAGGATAGGGGTGGGTCAGGGGCCCGCCTGAGGGGTGGCTTAGGTGGTCTGCCTATCTCCTTGGTGGTGCTGTGTGCAGGGTGCAAGTGCAGTACCCTGCTTTTGCTGTAGACTCCTGAGAAGTAGCAGTTGGGTTTTTGGTCTTTTTGTATCTTGTTGTTTTTAATTTGCCCCACCTGCACCTGCACCTGCCCACAGTTATTTTTAGTCCTTTATAGTTTCTTTGTATTCTGTTACTCTTTGTCCAGGTGCAAGCACTGCAGCAAAGGGTCCCAGGTCCCACCTGTCTCAGATTTGCAGGCCAGATTACATGTTTATACTAGGAATAGGGGCTAAATGACAGAAAGAATCCATGTGGCCTTGCTAAAGACAACATTTGGGGGATGAGAACAAGAGGAAGTGTTTATTCCCATGAGAATAACATGTCCATTTAAGATCACAGAGAAAGTTGTGAAACTACAAATCAGACACCAGAAGCAAAAACGCTTTGGGGTATTTTGGATATTTGTCATTTTCCTACATTTGTTCTTGTAATCTGTGTGTTTTTTTCACAGTCACTGGAGGGAATATCGTTAAACCAGTAAGGATTCTTGAGAGTAGCACAGCTAGTCACTTAACTAAGTTAAGCAATCAACACTTTAGGACTGTAGTCTTGATGGAGGTATCAGAGGTTGTGGTGATGTTGTTAAATGGCAGTTTTGAAGGAAAAGGGGAACTTGAGTGGTCCTGCCGGAGAGAACTTTGGGTTTTTGGAGTATAGAGCAAGGGTATTGCCTGCAGGGACAGACATCGCAGGGACGGGGGGATGAAGTTATTTGTGGGGCTATCATTGAATTCCTATCCAGTTCCTCAAACCCCTTTCCCTCCCTTTTCTACCTCAGTGGAGTAGAGGGACAAGCCCAGCTCCTGCAGTATAGCATTGAACCTTAATGCTATCCTGTATCATCTCTGTCTCCCAGCCCTGCACCAGGCATCCATGGTGTAGCTCTCCTACTCACTTTGGGAGCTGGCCCTTTGCCGAAATCATAGTTAAGTTCAATTTAACAGCTAGAAAGCTGGGGATACTTTCTAGGAAAGCATCTAAGCTAAGACTGAAATACCATGTGAGAGTGTATATTATGGGCGGTTAAAACCATTTTGGTGGCTCAGCAGGCAGTGTGTAATCAGCTGTCTGGTTGACTGTGGGTAAAGATTAGGAGGGCCTTTCCTGACCACTTAATGGACAGGTAAGGAAGTGAAGACCCAGAGAAATAAAATGATTTGCTCAAGATTATGTGGCTATTAGTGGCAGTACTCTAACAGAAAAGTAATGATCTGGTCAAAGCCTTTGTTCGCATCTGAGCCTGGATAAAATAAAGGCTGGAAAGTGGAAGTGCAGCTGGGCCCACACAAGAGGCAGGAACCAGAAAGCCTGGAAGCCTGAATTTTATCTTGTGGGCATGTGTTGTGATGGGTTGCATGTTGGGTTACTGAGAAACAGATGCTGATAGGAGTTATTAGGGTTCAATGCCTGTGAAAGGAAGGAGGAGGAAGCAGGATAGGTCAAAGAGAGAATTTAAGATGTGATGCAGGTCTGACAAATTCTTGGCCAACTTGCTGGGTAGCTCTGGAGAAAGCGTTTTCTTTCGAGTGTCCTGCATCAGGCGGAACTGCTCCATGCTTTATATCTGACCCCACTCAGTCACCTGATGCAGGCTGCCCCAGAAAGGGTGTGATCTTGGGCAGTAGGCTTCTCGGCAGCTGGAGCTGACAGCTGGAGGCTGATGACTGCACTTCTTGTGGCTGCGTATCAAGTTCTTTGAAGGGGGATCTCGGTGGCACCTCTCCATGGCTACCACAGTGTGAATTTGTGTTTGCCTTGGTGGCCACAGGGCCTTTTGTCACTGAATCAGCTTCATTCTTCTTTCTTTGAAGGCCAGTTGTCTCTCTTTTCCATGTACCTTGTTAAGAAATACAGCCACTCCACAACCCCCGGGTTTATATATCCTCAGTGCGTGTAGTCATGGAGACTCACTATTGTCCAATTCCAAATGTCTGGGGAAGAGTCTGATTGGATAAGCAAAGTAAGGGGGGTAGGATCTCTTAGTGTAAACATGATTGTGGAGTTGTCAGGGAAGACCAGTTTGATCTGGGCAGTGTTCTCTGATGACAATGGGAAAAGTACTGGGTTTAAGTCTCCAAGCTACGTGCTACTAGCTACTAGTAGCCACTAGTTGTGTGACCACGCCACGTCTAATTTGGTGTCTTCATCTGTAAAATGGAGATAGTTATACCTATTTAACAGAGCTGTTTTGAGAATTAAATAAGAAAATGTATGTGAGCTTTTAAACAGTAAAGCATTTTATAATTATAAGTATTATTTTCCTCATTCTACTAGTAATTTTGAAAGCTTCACTGGTGACAGCTTACTTGTTTTCTCTTTCAGACTGTGGAGGACAAAGCTGAGATAATCACATTCCCAAGTTTTCGGCACATTCTCACCATGTGCGACAATCCTTTCTTTAATGTTTTCGTTATTTGTACACCATTCTCATTACCCTCCCCCTCACTCTCATGCATTTGATATGGTTCCTTATGTAAACACGTCTTTGTGAAATACATAGTGTTGTTTTATTGTGTGTTATTTGTAACAGCTTCCTTGAGGTATAATTCACATAAAAATACACCTATTAAAAGATACACCTATTATAAACTTACAATTCACTAACTTTAAATTTATGGAGTTGTGCAACCATCACAACAGTCCAGTTTTAGAACATTTCCGTCTTCGTCCCAAATTCCATTGTTTCCATTTGCAGTCAGTCTCTGTTCCCAGGCAACCATTGATCTGTTTTCTTTCTCTATAGATTTGCCTTTCTTGGAAGTGTCATATGAAATCATACAATGTGTGGTCTTTTGAGTTTGGCTTCTTTCATTTAGCATAAAGTTTTTGAAGCTTACCCATGTTGTAGCATGTATTGGTAGTTTGTTCCCTTTTTATTTCTGCATAATATTCCACTGTATAGATATATCACATTTTGTTCATTCCTTTACTAGCTGATGGATATCTGGATTGCTTCCAGGTTTGGTATTATGAATAATTCTGCTTCCACATTCACATGTAAGTCTTTGTGTATACATATATTTTCATTTCCCTTGAGTAGATAGGTACCTGAGAGTGGAATTTCTGGGCCATGTAGAAAGTTTATGTTTAATTTTTTAAGAAATAGTCAAACTGTTTCCCAAAATAGCTATTCCATTTTACATTCCCACTGGCAAAGTATTAGGGCTCCAGTTTCTCTACATTTCTTGCCCATATTTGGTATGGTCAGTCTTTTTGATTATGGGTATATAGTGGTATCTCATTGTGAATTTAATTTGCATTTTCTTAATGACGAGTAATGATGTTGAGTATCTTTTCATGTGCTTACTGGTCATTCGTATGTGAAATGTTTATTAGTGAAATGTTTATTCAAATCTTTTGCCTATTTTTTCTTATGTTATCTTTTACTTTTTAAGTTTAAAAAATTTAATACAATTTTACAAGGTTATTT